TATAACAGTGGCGTTATGCAGTATTTGTAGTTTTGTGACTGAGATATTTCAATTAGCATAATGTCCCCCAGGGTCACCCATGTTTTGTAACAGTTTATTAGTTTCTTGTTTTTCAGTGCGGTATAGTATTCCATTGTGAGAAAGTACCATAGTTTGTCTATCCACTCATTTGTTGATGGGCATTTGAGTTGCTACCAGCTCTTTGCTATTGTGAACAAAGCAACAATAAACATGGGTGTGCATACATCTGTTTGGGTGGCAGCCCTGGTTTCTTTAGGGTATATTCCTAATAGTGGAATTGCTGGGTCAAATGTTATTTCTATTTCCAACCTTTTGAGAAAGTGCGATACCACTTTCCGTGAGGCTGTGTATTTTAAGGAAGGAGAAAGCCAGTGCATCTAAACCATGGAGCTTTCAGTTAGCAACCCAACACACAATGCACTATGCCAACAGAGCCTTTTAACCCTCATATGCAGAAGAAAGATGTGGCAGGCTCCTTCCAGAATGACACAGTCTACAGCCTTAGAAAACTTTTTGAACAGTTCTATCCTGTCTTTTAGTGTCAATATGAAGTTCTATCCTGTCCTAAAGGGTCACTATAAATAGGAGCCAACTCAACTATAATGGGTTGGGTTTGGTTTGTTTAATTGTTTGGCTCTTATACTTGTACTGCTTCCTTTGTATATGGAAGTATTCATTGGACAATGAATAAAGAAGAAAGAATAAGTATCAATGCCTTTGATTGGTAATGTCAGAGAATACTGATTATCCCATGGGCTACCGAAAGAACCAACAAATCTGTTTTGGAGAAAGTGCAACCAGGGTGCTCCTTAGAGGCAAGGATGGTGAAATTCCATCTCACATACTCTGGACATGTTGCCAGGAGGGGCCAATTGTTAGAAAAAGACATCATGCTGGGAAAGGTGGAGGCTCAGCACAAAGTCAGGAAGAGTTGGGTTGACACAGTGACTGTAGCAATGGCCGGAGCATGGCACAATTGTGAGAAGGGTACAGGGCAGGGCAGAGTTTTGTTTGTTTTGTGTTTTGGTTTTTTAAAAAGAATTTTATTCTGTTTTATTTACAAAGTTTGAATACATCGTTTTTCACAAAAGATTTTTCCCATTTCCTTCACCCCATCCATCCACAGAATTGTACAATCCTGTGATTAACGGTCTACGCCCGCCCCCATCCTCACCTCTCTATTTCCATCCCCCACCCCGCCTTGGATCCTCATACTCATTCTACAGTAATGGTCTTATACAGTATTTGTCCTTGTGGGACTGAGTTATTTCACTCAGCATAATGCTCTCCAGTCCCTCCCAAGTTAGGTAGTAATTTACAAAATCATTGCTCCTGTGTGCTGCGTGGTATTCCATTGTGTGAATGTACCCCAACTTCTCAATCCATTTGTTGTGGTTGGACATCTGGGTTGTTTCTATGTTCTTGTGAGGGTGAATAACACTGCTCTGAACATTGGCGTACACGTCTCTGTTTGAGCCTTGGTTCTCATTTTCTCATAGTAATAGCTGCGCCATATGAAATTTCTATGTTCAGCTTTTTGAGGAAGTGCCAAACTGCCTTCTAGAGTGGTTGTACCATTGTACAACCCCAGCAACAATATAACAGAGTTCCTATCTCGCCACATCCTCTCCAACATTTTTTACTTGCTGTCTGTTAAACTTTGTCACTGCTACTGGAGTGAACTGCTACCTCATTATGGTTTTGATTTGCATCTCCCTTATTGCCAGTGATTTGCAGAATTTCTTCATAAGTCTGTTGGCCATTTGAATATCTCCCTCTGTGAAAATTATTTCCAAGTTGAGTTATCAGTCTTTTTCTTACGGAGGCCCAGGAATATTCTATAAACTTTTGCTATGAGGCTTTTGACTGAGATGGTATTGTCAAATGTTTGATACCAGTCAGTAGGTTTTCTTTTCACCCTGTTTGAAAAAGTTTTTGATGAACACAGGGATTTAATCTTTAGAAGGTCCCATTCATCAATTTTATCCTCCTCAGATTCTACATTTCTGGCTGTATTGGCAAGCTCATTATACCATAGACTAGGGCTTCTAAACTTAATCCCAGTTTGTCTCTTATGAACTTTATGGCTTGGGGCTTATGGGAGAGTTTTGATCTGTTCCTAGGATCATTTTGAGCTGTAATGGACTGGATGGCGTCTAGCAATAAGAAGCACACCTTGTTTCATAAGAATATGTTACCTCTATGTAACTTCTTCAAAATATCAACATGGAGTCGATCAGCTAAATTGCTTCACTATGAGAACAGAAATCTGCTTTGCCTGTCTGAAGCAAAAGAGTTCTGCATTGGCTGAGGAAAATGTAGTTACAAAGTCTGCTTAAGGCAGATAGAAGCTAAGGAAGAGAATTTTTAGGGCAAAGAAGCCAGGAATGAGTTCCAACTGTCTCAGAGTTGGCTGTAGCATCCCTAGGAAACACTGCTGTCACAGTGGGTTACCTTGTCCTTACTCAAGTCACAGTGTTGACAGAGGACCAGTGGAAAGACCCTGCACCTAGCCATGTCAGTGGAAGGTAAGAGTCATCACAGGAATCACCCACCCACCTACTGTGCACATCTGAGGAGGAAAACAGACCCCAGAGAGAAATCAGGCAGCACTGGAGAGGCAAACAAAGGAAACAACACACCTGAGGTTACACATAGCCTGTAATTAATTAATAATAAATACATCACCAGTCATCTTTCCATGCTAATATTCACCTAAAATTTTAATGACATTTGTGTGTACCTTTATTTATTCCTATCTGTGAACATTTAAATCATTTCTCATTTTTCACTCTTTTTTCAAATTGTGATGGACATCCAATTTTTAGAAACAAAGCCTTTGTTTCCAAACTTGATTGTTAGCTTCAGATACACTCCTTGGAATTGTTGGATTGCTTTAATGTGCTGCAGGTCTATTTTTAGTCTTTATCATATATGGTTTCAAGCAGTCCTAAGGAGTTTTTCCGTATACAAACTCCCATCAGCATATTTTTGTTTTGAACTTTGCCAATTAGAAAGATAAAAAGGAAAAAAGAGTGTCTCGTTGAATTTTTTTATTTTATTTATTTATTTTTTTACATTGCATTCCTTTGATCGCTTGAGCCTTCCAAAGACACAGCACTGGGCGCTGAAAGATTCAATCGGATTAGCTCCAGGAGGCACCACATTTATGCCTCACAGATGGTTTCCTGCCTGAAAGAAACAAGAGGCCCTCTAGCTGGTGAAGTGGAAACTCACCAAGCCAAGTAGCACACACAGGCTGGGAATGCAGAGACATTTTCATTCTGAACAATTACAGCTCAGTGGAAGTGTTAGTGGGAGTGAGTCACACTTCCACAGAAGAGTTAGCAGGAGATATCATGAATATTCCAGCACAGAAACACGTGAAGAAGAATTGAAGGTGGCCACTCAGGCCAGGATGCGGGGCCAAGTGGCCATCTGTTCCACACCAGCTTCTCAGGATGCCAGCGTGGTTCCTAACTCGATCCACTTGCTCAGACCATCAGCATTAAGTGGATGCCCACTGTGTGCCAGACATTGGTCTAGACACTGTGACACCCACAACAAACAGTGCTTGTCCTTGTCCTCTGTTCTCCTAGTGAAGCAATTTAGCGGATGGATTCCATGTTGGTATTTTGAAGACGTTACATTAGAGGTAACTTTTTTTTAATTATGCTTTTTTAAAAATTAATTTTAATGAAAGTTTACAGAGACTTAGGGTTTCTAGTCATTCATTGTTGCACTTTTCTCCCTGCCTATCCCCTTTCCCCCAATTCACTCTTCTCCTTGAAAAGAAAACCTCTTTCATTGTTATGCAATCCCTCCCCCCAAGTTCACTCCACTATGCAGCCTTCATTCTGGACTTCTGTGATGGCAAGAATACGCAACAGTTCTCTCCCTCATCTGTTTCAATGCAGTAGACATAATTCCTGCCCTCCTTTTCTGTCTTCCCTCAACCCTGATGTCAGTCCCTTTTTACAACAGTGGCCCTATGCAATATTTGTCCTTTTGTGACTGAGATATTTCACTCAGCATAATGCCCTCCAGGATTATTCATTTTGCATAACATTTCATGAGTTCCTTGTTATGAAACAAAGTATGTTTCTTATTGCTAGACGCCATCCAGTCCATTACAGGTCAAAATGATCCTATGAACAGATCAAAACTCTGCCATAAGCTCCAAACCATAAAGTTCATAAGAGACAAACTGGGATCAAGCTTATAAGCCCTGGTCTACAGTATAAAGAGACTGCCAAATACAGCCAGAAATGTGGCAGTTCAGGTGAATGGGAGGGCAAATGGCTAACCACGCCATCCAGCAGCATTAGCAAAGTGCTGTGGGATCCAGGTGGACAGCAGTCTCCTCTGCCTGTGGGGTTTCCACTCGGCTCCAACAAGGAAGTGATGGACGAACCACAGATCCCTTTTTGTGTTCACACTGACAACATACCTGGGTGAGGAAGGGGGAAATTACAGAATGGGATGATTTTAGGCTTGTGCTAAAATAGTTATAGCATGGCTTAGAGAAAAGAATGCATTCACTTTTGCATTTCACCTGTGTCAGGCCTGGGAAAGTCGCTTGATTGCCTGCTGTTGCCCAGATATTAAAATGACAGCAATTCTATCTACTTTCTGAGCTCCTTTTATCATTAAGTGGAAGACTGCACATACCCAAACCCATCATATTGACTCCAATCCATAGACACACTGGTGGCTCATTCACTAAAATGCCTAAAATGCAGCTGGCTGGAAAGCCTAGGAGTAACAGTTTTGCCAGGGAACAGTTTTGAACCAGGAAACTTGCCTGGGCAGATCCACGAGCCCTAGCTGCTCCATCCCACAGTTAGGTGAGAGGACCCCCGGGCCCATTCCAGTAATGTTTTCCGTTTGAAACTCTGTACTATCCCAACCGTGCCCTTTAGTCCCACCTGCAACAGCGTTCTGAGTCTTGGAAAGGAAAGCTGTGGGGATAGGCCCGAATGTGTCAGCCGGTGGGAAGAGACAGCGGCAACTGAAAAAGGCTGCGGCGAGTATTGCTCGTCTTGGAATCAGCTACAGGACTTGAGCCGCTGGCCAAGGCCGCCTGCCCTTTCCTTGCTGTTTCCCTTGTGTGATTTTGAAGTTGAGTACCTGTGTGATGACAGAACGACTGGAGAACATACTACCTGGGAAAGTGGCGTGGATACCCCACCGGAGCCGCGGCAGAATCTGAAGTGTGCGCACCTTTCCCAGCAGTTTCACAAGGACTTAGAGCTGAACTAGTCAAAGCCATCTCGGCCTCCGGATCCGGGCCTCGTCGACCACTTGGTCCCGAAGGCCAAGCAAAGGCGAGCAGCCAGTCGGTGGGAGCAGGAGTTCAACGTAGCCACCTGGGACTCACCACTGTGGACACGAGGGGGACCTGGATAGTGTACACGAGCGAGCTCCGTGTCTCCGTGTGGGTGAGGGCGTCACCCCTAAGCAGGCAGCCACGGGCTGCGAGTGCCAGGACTGGGGATGGGCTCCGGTTGGAGGCTGCTGCCCGGAGCCTCGCTGCACAGGTCTGCCCTCCACGAGCCGGGCCACGTGCGTGTGAGCAGGGCTCCCCATCCTGTGCGACCCACCTGCCGCCGTGCTGTGAGCGCCCCACCTGCGCGCTGCTGAGGGGCGTTCACCATGACCTCTGCATCTTTGGCACGGATGATGGACGTGGCTGGGGCCACACGGGAGAGGGTGAGAAGGACAGCTTCTCGTGGAGTATGTGGGAAAGACCTCAGAGAGCGTTGGGCTGGGGTCAAATCTACGGCCACCAGCGCATCACCTACAATGGATGCTGCTACTATGGCAACAGCTCCCGCCTTGCCGATCACAGTTGTGACCCCAACCTGCAGGTGCACAAGGTCTTCATAGACAGCCTGGGTGAACGACTGATTATAACACGCAAGTGGGCCCTGTGGACGTGGAGAGCTGTACTCCCTGGCTCCCTAGGAAACAAGTCCGTATTGAATGCAAGCCTGGGACTGAATCCTGCTGCAGATACTTCTTCTAGCCCTTTGAAGTCTGAGAGCAGACTGAGTGTGGGGGCCTAGTACCGCGCTCCTCCCACTCACCGCGACCCTCCTGTCAGAAGAATGACATCCCACACCCCACCTGTCACTATCTGTCCCACCATGCTCCGTTGTCACGGCTTTCGGGCTGTGGTGAGGACTGACCTAGGAGTCCCCTCTCCCCGTCTCAGTGGCTGCATTAAAAAACTCCGATTCCATTCATTCATTATTGCACTTTTTCTCCCCACCTACCCCAATCCAAAATCTCTGTAAATGTTCATGAAAATTAATAATAATAAATAAAAAAACCCAAAACCCCTCTGATTCCTGCTTTGAGAAGCTGTTATTCTACAAAAGGACTTTCTACAGTTGAGATACATGGTTTGTTAAGGAGGTTCAAAGGGTGAGCTCCAAGCCAGCCCCACAATAGAAAAATGTTTCTGCGCCTGCTTCTGCCTGGAGCTTTAGAGAGCTGTTCCATGCTTCTCTCAGGTTCCACCTCAGGCCCACCTCGCCAGACCCCAGAGTTCCCACACCTGCCTGCTGTTCTCTGGGGTAAAAACTTTGTGCTAGTAAAAGAAAGGGATCCCCAGGATTGGGGCCGATGCTGCCTTGTGCTCACAGTGGAAAAAAAAAAAAAGCAAATGAACGTGATGGCCATGATTCAGCTGTTTTTTGGTTGGGTTTGGCAGCCAAGGCTTTCACTCTTAAGTGTCCCCTTCAGCGCCATACTGAAGGCTTCCTTCATCATGGAATGCTCTCTTGTGCTTGTTCTACTTAGAATTTAATAAAAGAATATCCGCATACTGTGCTTGAATCGATGTCTCTTTTCCTCACAGGGTATTTGGGATCACACTAGTAATGTTTTTAAGGGTCCTCCATACCATAGCCTGTGTTGAAGTTCATTTCTCTTTACAAGTACTATGTATGTACCCCATTTCCTTTAGCCATGCACATGCTGATGGACTTTGAATTGTTCTCAGCACCTTTGGCTTTTGTGAAAAGTACTTCATTTACAAGACTGCTTGTGATTATTTTATGATGTTGTTGATTTTTTCCCCAATGAGGAAATTCCAATCAGTATCCAATGTCTAATTGTCTCTGTTTGTAACTTCAGTACCGTCTTTTATTAATGCAGTTCAAATCCACCAGCTGTTCCAAGGAAGAAGGATGAGCAATCTCCTCTCATGCTATTAACTGCCTCTGAAAACCCACCAGAAGGTCAGCGATGGGTCGATTCTGAGTCTACGGTATTCAACAACAATAACAACCACCACCACCTTATTAATGCATTAAAAAAAAACCCCAAATATCTGTCAAATCACAATGACTACATGTACTTCAGAGAGTTCTTTGAGAAAATCATCAGAGCTTTCTTTGGAAGCACCTGGGGGTAAATTGGAACCTTCAGATTTCTGGTTAGCACCTGAGCATGTGAAGAGGCGTGGCAAATGGTGGTGGGAATCTAATTTTACCATGCTTTTCATTTATTAAGTGGAAAGACTTCTTTAAAGGGAAACATTTCTCATCTGTTAGCTTACTCAGTGGCACATTTCTGTAAGAAGGATAAAGATATGATCAAGATTTTAACTTTACTTACCAGTTCTCAAAAATAATAAGTTGTTTTCTCAGTATTTTTAATTATAACAAATTAGTCCTTTGCTGGCTTATTTGCGTAAGAGCATCATTATAAATTTTTGGATATTTGGCATTATAATTACCGAGGCAAGAAATATCCCATTCTTAGTGCAAACCTTTATCAGGATGGTTTCTAAGGGGAAATAGCATCTCAAGATGTTTTAGATTCATGTCATGCAATATTTCAGTTAGTGGCAGGTTATGTTGTTAATCTTTGGTGACCCAAAATAACAGCAAAGAGTGGATCATTTCTAATGAGATGAAAATAGATAACGAACACATGAAGGAAAGTTTGCTCTGTGTTAGAGATTTTCAGGTCCTGCTTCCTAGTTTTCCACCAGGTGACTATGCACAGGCACAAAGCTCTGTGTTGAGGAGGGGATTAAGGGCTCAAGAGCAGCCTGACGCCTCCTCCCTCTGTAAAGAGGACTCAAGAATACAGCTTGGCTTTTTAGTCGAGTTCTGAGTGGTTTGGTCGGACATGTCTGGTGGCTCCACTGATTACAACAGCAGAGAACATGGCGGCCCTGAGGGAATGGACCCTGGTGGTGTCATCGAGAGCAACTGGAATGAAATTGTTGATAACTTTGATGATATCCCTTCTCCGGGGTATCTATGCTTATGGTTTCGAGAAGCCTTCAGCTATTCAGCAGAGAGCTATTATTCCCTGCATTAAAGGGTATGATGTGATTGCTCAAGCTCAGTCAGGTACTGGCAAGACAGCCACATTTGCTATTTCCATCCTGCAACAGTTAGAGATTGAGTTCAAGGAGACCCAAGCACTAGTATTGGCCCCCACCAGAGAACTGGCTCAACAGATCCAAAAGGTAATTCTGGCTCTTGGAGATTATATGGGAGCAACTTGTCATGCCTGCATTGGTGGAACCAATGTTCGAAATGAAATGCAAAAGCTGCAGGCTGATGAAGCACCACATATTGTTGTTGGTACTCCAGGGAGAATATTTGATATGTTAAACAGGAGATACCTTTCTCCAAAATGGATCAAAATGTTTGTTTTGGATGAAGCAGATGAAATGTTGAGCTGAGGGTTTAAGGATAAAATCTATGAGATTTTTCAAAAATTGAATACGAGCATTCAGGTTGTGTTACTTTCTGCCACAATACCAACTGACGTGTTGGAGGTAACAAAAAAATTCATGAGGGATCCAATTCGAATTCTGGTGAAAAAAGAAGAATTGACACTTGAAGGAATCAAACAGTTTTATATTAATGTTGAAAAAGAGGAATGGAAATTGGATACACTTTGTGACCTGTATGAGACACTGACGATTACACAGGCTGTTATCTTTCTCAATACAAGGCGCAAGGTGGACTGGCTCACTGAGAAAATGCATGCTAGGGACTTTACAGTTTCTGCACTGCACGGTGACATGGACCAGAAGGAAAGAGATGTGATCATGAGGGAATTCCAATCAGGGTCAAGCAGGGTTCTGATCACCACTGACTTGTTGGCACGTGGGATTGATGTTCAACAAGTATCTTTGGTTATAAATTATGACCTACCTACCAATCATGAAAACTATATTCACAGAATTGGCAGAGGGGGTCGATTTGGGAGGAAAGGTATGGCTATAAACTTTGTTACTGAAGAAGACAAGCGGATTCTTCGTGACATTGAGACTTTTTACAATACAACAGTGGAGGAGATGCCAATGAATGTGGCTGACCTTATTTAATTCCTGGGATGAGATAGTTCTGAATGCTGTGCTCGCTGTTGCTGAATAGGCAATCACAATGTGCATTGTGCTTCTTTCTTTGGGAATATTTGAATCTTGTCTTAATGCTCATAATGGATCAGAAATACAGATTTTGATAGCAACATGACTTTAGTCGTGAGCTCTTGTGAGGAAAGTCATTGGCTTTATCCTCTCAGAGTTAGACTGTTGGGGTGGGTATAAAAGATGGGGTCTGTAAAATCTTTCTTTCTTAGAAATTTATTTCCTAGTTATGTAGAAATGGTTGTATTAGATGTTCTCTATCACTTAATAATATATTTGTGGACTAAAAGATGTAAGTGCTGTATTAAATCAGCCAATTATGTTAAACTAGGATACCTGCCTTCATTGTGTTTGCCCTTAGCCTGAATAGAAAGGCCTTTAAAATAGTTTTTTTAGAACGCATTTGGATGCATTTTGTTTGATATTTATTCAATAAAGTATTTAATTAGTGTTAAGTGTGAACTGGACCCTGTTGCTAAGCCCCAACAAGCAATCATATCCTAGGTAGGGTTGAACCCCCAGTAAAATTGCCATATTGTACATGTCTTAATGAAATGAAGTTTGAATGTTAAATAAATTGTATATTCACTTTTAAAAAAAGAATACAGCTTGAACTTGAGACCAAATCACAGACTTCTTACTTCTCAAATCACAACTCTCAGATCTACCCATGGGGAAACCAGTGTACATATATCCTCTTAAGCCAATTTCCCCCCAGTGGTAGGGGGTTTTATATATTTGTTTCAAATTCCTATTTGTTAAAACAAACAAATGTAAAACAGAATTAGAAGCAAGACTTCTCAATGAAATGACCATGTCCTCAGACCAAATTATAGCTCAACACTTATTCTTACTCTGATCAAAATGGGCCATGTGACTTAGAAGGGATGTAGCAAGTAAATAGTCTGAGAAAGCAAAAATTGTTCATACTAATACTTGATGCTTATAAAACAGGTGGGTACCTGGGTGCTACAAACAGTTGGTGCTCAACTACTAACTTACAGTTCAGTGCTTTGAATTCACTCAGAAGTGCCACAGAAGCTTCGTGCTCTGCTTCTGTAAAGCTGGAAGTAAGAAGACCTTACAGAATGACTCTTCTCTTTAACACATGGAGTTGCCATGACTTGGACTGGCTTGATGGCAGTGGGCTTAGATTCTATTTTTGTTTATAAGATAGACAAGGAGAATAAATAGAGTCACTGAAACAAAAAGATGTACTTGATGTTCAACTATTTCAGGAGATAGTATGCAGTCAAGTCTTCAACGAAACTGAAGGAAGACATTCACGCTGCACTGAAGGCATTGATGAAAAACAAAGCTGTAGGAACTGATGGAATACCAACTGAGATGCTTCAACAAATGAGTGTAAAAACTGGTAGCATCTATGTAGAAAAATCTGGAAGACTACCTGGCCAACTGACTGCAAGAGATCCATATGGATGCCCATTCCAAAGGCAATCAAATGAGATGTAAAAATTAGAAAAAT